GTTAAGCCTCTGCCTTCGGCTCAGGTCATGGTCCCAGGGTCCTGGGATCGAGCCCCGTATCGGGCTCTCTGCTCCATGGGAAGCCTGCTTCTCCCTCTCCCACTCCCCCTGCTTGTGTTCCCTCTCTCGCTGTGTGTCTCTCTCTCTGTCAAATAAATAAATAAAATCTTAAAAAAAAAAAATCTCAGGCAGAGGACTCAAAATATGATTCGTACTCACAGACACTACTAACAAATAGCCAAAATAGTGCTCCACGAAAGCAAAACGAAACAAAACAAAAACAAAAACTGCATTTACATGTATTAAATGCATTTACATAAAAAATAAATATAATAATATACAGGAAAACCATTTGTTAAAGAATGACATATATTAGGCAATTGAGAATTAGGCAAACCGGAAAATCTGAAGTGTTCTTGTCATGTAAATTTAGGAAATTATATAGAGAAAACAGAATCTACGGGTTTAAGAATGTATTGTGAAGAGACTTTCTCTCTAGATTTTCTCTACAACCCTTTCAGAGTACAACTTATATGAATAAATACTTTGAGAAGCACCTGCTTTGAAACAGACTTCCCACTGGCCATGTTAATAACTAACAATCACACAAGAATCAAGATTACTTTTCAAGATTTGATTGCAGGTACTTCTTATATAATTGAACTTACATGGCTGTAGAAACGTAAAGACTTCAAATCTGGGCTTAGGGGATCCTAAGGTTAAACTCCAAAGCACTGTTTGCAACCAAAAGGAGCTAGGAAGTACCAGAAAACGGGTATCTACCAGCTAGCTTAAACTGCAGCCAGAAATACTATCACTGTGAAAAGTCGGTCCCCAGGGAACATTAGCTCCTGAAGGGCAGACATGTTGGTTTGTGTTTTGTTCAGGGCTGCACCCTAGCATCTAGAACAGGGCCTCCCACGCAGTAGACACTCAGGATTTTAACTAACGAATGAATCAGAGAGACCATTCTGGGCGTACATGAGGAGTCAATCCAAATTCATTTCATGTATCAATACCGCATAATCTCCCACCAACTGCAGAAGCTGTTACTGAATGACTAACATGTTAGGAAGCTAACTGTACTGTCACTGTATACTTCTGAGTAAAATGAGCGATAAAAAACGATGGTTTTTACTCTTGAGGAGCTGGGACCCAAGTGACTGTGAAATTGTTATGCCTGTTACTAAAGAAAGCATGACAGTATCATGAGGACATGTAACATTCCCGGTATTTCCATCTTCTTACCACCCTCCCAAATGCGGTGAGGAAGCCAGTGCTAAGGTACAGGGTCCCTCAGACACTGGTGCCTCACCCAAGTCACTTGTATCAGCATCTGCCTGGCAGCGCTAACAGAGGGAAGACATTCATCATCTGTTTGGTGTTCCCACCTTGTCCATGCAGCTTCAAATATAACTGCGCTGAGCTAGATGAGTCAGCAGCTGGTCTTCCAAAAGCTAGTGCCTCACTCCCAAAGCAAGAAGGAACAAGTTCACACTTCAGAGGGCTGCATCAGTGCCAGAAGTATCCATGTTGCCTCAAGGTTTCAGACTCCCCAGTGATCTTTCACTCGATGGATACCAAGGCAGAGGCTGCAGAAAAACACAACTGTGGCCCCAGGCAATATAGGAAATGGTGTTTGTTCATACTGTGGATTAAGTGCTTTGAAGGATCAAAATGCAGAAGACCGCTACATTCAACATATAAGGTTTTCTTAATAGTAAAGCACTAAAAAAAATGTGAATAAGTCATTCTTTTATTTTTCAGAAGCGAAAATGACAAGTCGCAACTTGCCTTTGGAAAAGGCATTAAAGAATATCGGGGTAATAAGCTATCTATCTCATGGAGACAGTAGCCTAAGACTCAATTATCACACAGCTCTCAAAGAAAGTCCAATTAAATAAATCTCAGAATAATATGCTTTTAAGTAAAACAAAACAAAAAATATCAACAAAAAGTTATAAAGAATCCATAAAGTGGTATACGAAGAAAAAGGAAAATCTGGAAATCCATATACTGAGAGTGCTCTATTGAAATCAAGGAAGCCCAAATCCTAAAACAGAAAAAAGCAAATATGTTAAAACACAGTATTTTAAGAGTCAAATGACGTTACTGTAGATGCACATTTTAACGCTTCATTTACTCAGGACATTTTTTTCTTTCTCTTGGAGCATTTCTATATATACTGTAGGAGATCATGTGAATGACAGTGCAGAGATCTGCCTTCTCAATGAGGCCCTTGAGTTTTAAATATCAAATCTGAGTCTGGAATCCCAATTAAAAGTTTATATAATAGACTACAGAGAATGAAACTGCTTTCTAAACTGCATTTGCTTAACTCTTCCACATTACGGCTTAAAAACAATCTGTAAACTTTTGAAAGAGACACAACAATTTACAGTATGAAAACAGGGCTATGTGAAACTATACATGCTTTCTCATAAAGTAGGACTGACAATTTCCAAAATGAAGATGCTTACTGCAAAATGACAGAGTTGGTGGGGGATGGGGTGGGGTGGGTAGTGCAGAACCACCAGTGGAAGGCACCAAAATCCTGGATTCTACATTCAGCTTTGTACTGATTAGTTGTATCTTAGTCTCGACTTACTCAGGTCTCAATTTATTCCCTGGTAAGAAGAGGAAGATAGATCTCTAAGCTTCATTTAAATCCAAAGATTCTTATAGTTTATAAGAAAAGATTTGAAAAACTTTTTGGCCAATCAGTTGAATAAATTCCTCAGATCCTGACAGGGTCTGTCCCTGTTCAACTCTCATGAAAATAACTATAAAGTAGATCCCATATTTTGTTGTGAGAAAAGAAAAAAAAATCTACCTTTGTGGCAAAATTATACTTCATACACTACAACATAGAAAATAAATGTCTGTTCCTTTCCTGGCCTCTAGAAACACTCTCTGAGACAGAATCAACTAAAAACCCTAGGATTATGACTATGGCCAAAACGTCTAGCCTGCTTTGGGGTACCTAGATGGCTCAGTCGGCTGGAGGTCTGGCTCTTGGTTTTGGCTCAGGTCATGATCTCATGGGTTGTGGGATTAAGCCCCATGGCAGGCTCCACGCTCGGTGGGGAGTCTGCTTGAGGAATCTGTCCCTCTGCCCCCCAACCCGCTCACATGGGTGCTCTCTCTCTCAAATATGTAAGTCTTAAAAAAAAAAAAAAAAAAAAAGTCTAGCTTGTCTTTCTCTCTGCCTTCTCTCTGAGAGCTGCTAGATGGTTCAAAGTGAACTATCACCTAACAAGTACCCTGCACCCTACATGTTATATAGGACTTCTCCATTGCTGAGGAGATTGTGCTAGGGAATCATTTTCCTGATAGTCTATCAAAATCCTGAGAAAAATCTAGCATTATTGGAAGATTATTTATTAGAATAGACTAATGTATGGCCCTGGAAATAAAAACCTTATAGTAGCAGAGTCCTAGAGAACCAGAGAGTTGAACCAGGAAGATTGATGATACCTCTGACTTATCCAAGTGTATTACCTATTTAAAGCTGCAGCCAATTAATAATTCTCATGGGCAGGGCCAAACTTTAGGTTAGAGTAAGTACTTATAGTAGTTCAGGGTTAAGACTCAATCAACCTTCAGGTTTAGGGAAGAAGAAAAGGAAGAGGTTTAAGGATCATATTGACCCCAGGAAAGTAGGAGAGCAGCAAAGACATGCTGTACTGAACTCTCTACAACACATACTTTCCTCATAACCATCATGTAATACTATGAAATATCTTTTTGCTTTGATGTTACCTTTTTGTTGTGAACTCTGTCTTCTAACCATAATCTCTGCAAAGAAAGAGAGACTGAATCAGGAACTGCACGAGCAATGAGGGTACATAAAAATGCTTTACAAAAGACTAGAGATGGTTCAGGTAAATGGAGACCTGTGTTTCTAGATAAGCAAAATGAGAGGTTTATAACATTAGATGATCTTAAATTTCCTGTGGCTCTCACATTTTCATAATTTTATACAGATAATATACCATAATAAAGATTATACATGCATATGACTTACTGTTTCTTTTAAAAAATATTTATGGATATAACTGTGTTTTTCTAAATGTCTCATTAGTAATACTCAGTCTTGTAAGTCTGGTTCCATAATAATCTATAATGTAACTACTTCCATCTGAAGGTCCAACGATCTAGAAGAGAAAATTTTCAAAATTACCATTTTACAAAAGACATTTTCACAATACTTTGTGTTTACTTTGCTCGGTTGCTACTAAATTATTTCAGCAGCACCAAAATACAACTTAACTTAACTCAAGCAAAAAAAGTAACTTAGTGGCCCTGGTAGCTGAAAAGGATATTGGGGACGATAACAGGATCCAAAGAGCTGCAGGAACCAAGGCCTCAAGGACTGAAATTCCATGAACAGACACCCACCCCACCCCACCCTTGGTCTGACCTGTGGGCATTTTAGCTCTTCTGCCTTCATTCTGCAGAGAGGTACTCCCACTTGCTTGCCAACAGCTCCAGATTTACATATTCAAAGCTCAGCAGCTCCCGGTAGAAAGTATAATTTTCTTCCTCAGTGTTTGTATACAAATTCCAGGGAAGGACTGATTTTGGGTTTTATGCCTACTGCTGGACAAATTATGATAGCCAAGGGAATAGAATTAATGTGATTGGCTAGGCCAGTCCCTGTGGGAGTGGGAGGTAGTGTGAGGGACAATCCTTCCAGAACCACGCGGAATGGAAGAGAGAGAAAAAAAACAACGCATGCTCATTACAGTCATCTTGTCCACTTAATCACATTTCTGACAATCCAGTTAACATGATTTCTACAAATTATTCTTTAAGATAGCAATCTTCATGGAGCGCCTGAGTGGCTCAGTTGGTTAAGCGTCTACCTTTGGCTCAGGTCATGATCCCAGGGTCCTGGGATCGAGCCCCACATCAGGCTCCCTGCTCCACGGGAGGCCTTCTTCTCCCTCTCCCACTCCCTCTGCTTGTGTTCTCTCTCTCGCTGTCTCTCTCTGTCAAATAAATAAAATCTTAAAAAAAAAAAAAAAAGATAGCAATCTTCAAACTGTAGCCTTAGGGGCAAACAAAGATTTACCAAGATGTATGTGAGCCCAGATGATTTAAAGGAAATCAATTTTGAGACCCTTAATTCCCATAAATACTCTTTGTAAAAGTGATCCACCTGATACCAAGCCATGGTGGGGGCAGAGTTCCCTTCCCACTTCCCTCTCCCTGTGGTCCTTTCTCCAGGAGAAACTTGATGACAATAAACCACACGTGCCATCAAAGCAGGTATTATGATGGAACAGTGCCTCTGATGAGCCAAAGAGATAAGTCAAAATACTGGACTTCAGGAAATCTCCTTTAAATCATTTTTTAAAAAGATTTTATTTATTTATCTGAGAGCGAGAGAAAGCACAAGCAGGGGGCGTGGCAGAGGAAGAGGGAGAAGCAGGCTCCCCGCTGAACAGGGAGCCCAACTCCACTCAGGGCTCGATCCCAGGACCCTGAAATCATGACCTGAGCCAGAGGCAGCTGCTTAACCAACTGAACCACCCAGGCGCCTCAGGAAATCTCCTTTAATCAAGAGTCCAAAAATATGCTCGCTCTGCCTCATCTTTTTCAAAAGTTGCATTCCCAGTAACATTTTACTTTTTTTGCTTAAAAGTAATTTGCTAAATCATTTTTATAATATGTAATATGCTTATGCTGTTTTGATCAACTGTGTATCAACAATTATAATGACAATCCAGTAATTACAGAAAATTTTATAATCTTTTAATGAATCATGAAAATCATGATAATGAAAATGATCAGCAGAAGATTTTTCAAGCATAAAAAACATACAGAAAGTCAATTATCATATGGTTTCACTTATCTGTGGAACATAAGAAATAGCATGGAGGACATTAGGAGAAAGAAGGGAAAAATGAACGGGGGGGGAATCGGAGGGGAAGACAAACCATGAGAGACTACGAACTCTGAGAAACTGAGGGTTTTAGAAGGGAGGGGGGTAGGGGGATAGGTGAGCACAGTGATGGGTATTAAGGAGGGCTCTTATTGCATGGAGCACTGGGTGTTATACGAAAACAATGAATCATGGAACACTATACCAAAAACTAATGATGTACTGTATGGTGACTAATATAATAAAATAAATAAAATTTTAAAAAATATTACATTAGGATAAAATTCTGTGGGAGAATGGAACTAGAAATACAAATTCAAGGAGAAAAAGAAACTATGTAAAAATCACAAATGGTTAGTGAAGGGTTCATTCATGTCTTTTTAAATGAATGATATTTAAAATTCTATGGTATTTATATTCTGTTGGATACATTTTTAAATTGATATAACAGTTTTATTTAAATATGTCAATATTTGCAAACCAGAAATTATATCCTTTGCAACTATTTAAACTTATGATGGAAAACTTAAATGTCAACTTAAAAATGTGTGGAGGGTAGGGATTTTTTTAAAAATTCTTTCAGGGGTCATACAAACAGAGTTTGAAGAATACTGTTGTAGTGCATGCTTCGTTTTAAAAATAAGTTTGATTTTTTTTTTTTAAGATTTTATTTATTTATTTGAGAGAGAGAGAATGAGAGACAGAGAGCACGAGAGGGAAGAGGGTCAGAGGGAGAAGCAGACTCCCCACCGAGCAGGGAGCCCGATGCAGGGCTCGATCCCAGAACTCCAGGATCATGATCTGAGCCGAAGGCAGTCGCTTAACCAACTGAGCCACCCAGGCGCCCCAATAAGTGTGATTTTTAAAACTATTTGACAAATACTGGATTCCGACAACACTCCAGGCACTGTGCTAGGCATTATACACATAACAGTGAATGAGATACAATCTCTGCCCACGAAGAGCTTATACTAGTGAACTATAAATATTAATATTCAAATAACACAAAGCACTTTTGTGCTAAATACCATGCTGGGTACTGTTATGCACTCTGCTTATTTTCCAAAGATTAAATTAATTTGGTTTGATATTTATGAATGTTATTTAAGAATGTAATAAAACCTCAGGGCGCCTGGGTGGCTCAGTGGGTTAAACGTCTTACTCTTGATTGCGGCTCTGGTCCTGATCTCAGGGTCTTCGGATCAATCCCTGGGTCAGGCTCTGCACTCAGCTGGAGTCGCTTGAAATTCTCTCCCTCTCTCTCTTTCTGCCCCTACCCCTGCTCTTTCTCTCGAATGAATAAATCAATCTTTTTTTTAAAAGTAAAAAATAAAAAAGAATTTAATAAAACCTTTTCAGTGGTCAAGGTCCCACAGGAAACTACTCTGAGCATTAAGCCGAGAAAGAGAAGAACGAGTGACTAGGAGTCACAATGTGTTTTGAGACTGGACGAGGGGGACAAAGAAAAACTAAAGCCCAGCCTGTAGAAATAAATCAAATCATATGGCAAAAAACTGCCTAATTAGGAATATGTGCATAGCTTGGGACCAGGCCTTTTGTCCCATTCTCTTTTTCTTCCTTTGCCATCTCCCCTATTCCTGTTGAAAAAAAGTATTCAAGGCTGGAAAAAGGAAAATACATGATTAGGTGACCTTTTCATATCATGCATTTCTATTAAGTCTACCTGAGGCTCACTTGCCTCTCTTGGGAAATGTAAAACTAACTAAAGCCAATTAGGACCCATATGTTTTACAATCTTGTAAAGTCAGTAGTTAACATGTAGAAAAATAATAAGGTGTTTGTTTTGTGTTTTTGTTTTGTTTCCTCTGTTCTGTAGAGAAGATAGCCCAGAAGGATACAGTTTTATTACCTGGTAATACATGATCTAACTCTGTATCTAACTCAGCCATTTTCTTACCATTTCTCTCCACTCAAACTCTGTCACTGTGGCTCCTCAACAACCAGTTCTAGCACGGGAATTCCACTCCTCCTTCCAGAGACTGGGTCTGCCTAGGCATGGAATCTAATTCTGGCCAACCACCGATGATGCAAGTTCACTGTTGGCATATCTGACCTTAAGAAAATATGTAGGGGGGGACATGGGTTCTTTCTGCTGGGGACAGTCACTATATAATGAAGTGATGCTAACCAAAAGACCTGAAGATGGCAAAGAGAAAGAAGGAAGGAGAGAGGGAGAAATAGGAGGGAAGGAAGGGAAGAGAATGGGAGGGAGGGTCCACCATTATGTCTTTCAGCTCTAAATTAACAAATCTTATAACTACCTTAAATCTAGATTCTTGGTATGATAGAGTAAACTACCGTATTATGAAAGCAAATTTAGGGCGCCTGGGTGGCTCAGTTGGTTAAGGGACTGCCTTCGGCTCAGGTCATGATCCTGGAGTCCCTGGATCGAGTCCCGCATTGGGCTCCCTGCTCGGCAGGGAGTCTGCTTCTCCCTCTGACCCTCCCCCCTCTCATGTGCTTGCTCTCTCTCATTCCTCTCTCTCAAATAAATAAATAAAATCTTAAAAAAAAAAAAGAAAGCAAATTTAAATTGAGGTTTCTGTTACTTGTAGCCAAAACACCTGATAATGCACTAGTTTTCAGCGCCCCCCCTCACTACTGCCAGATCACCAAAGCACAGCTACTCTCTGCTAAAACAACCTGAAGAGGTGCCCCAAAGACAAATTCGGTCACTGTGGGAAAGCACCAGAGGAAAGGAGAACTGGAAAAGGAGGAATCCTCTCTGGATCTCAGGTTTTTGTATCCATATAAAGAGGAATAGAATAAGCTGATCTATACGGTACTTTTTAAGTTCTACATCTTATATGACTATGACATTTAAATGTAAACACATCTACAAGGTATTATCAATATACTTTCCTTTGAACTATGCCATCAAAGAAGAAATTGTTCATCCTACTTAACGTTTAAGAAAACTATCTGTTGCAAAATTTTCAACTATTCTCACCAAAATCAAAAAATTAAATGTTTTTAAGCATCTTATATATACTTATGTACAATACATGTGCCTATTATAAATTCCTTTATTATGAGTATATTATTAAATTGTTAATTATAAAATTACAAGTCTTTAAAAATATCCCATGCTGAGAAATTTTTTACTCAGTTAGATATGCCAATGTCCATTTGTTTATTGGCAACAGAGTATGAAACCTAAAATTATGTTTGTTTCTCTGCTAAGAAATAGCCTGAAGCCAAATTCTACAGCATGAAGTATTTCCATTTGATAAACTGGGGAATATTTCTATAATCTATGGGTCCAATTCATGGACCAAGAGGTTGCTACAGGTCTTCATCTTCCAAAAGGGGAAACAGGAGGGTCACTACACTGTGGGAAGCTATTTTGTACAATGGGTATCAAGGTCTCTTGCGTGAGAAGCCTTAAAACCACAAGAAAACAACATCATATCCTCTATATTAGTTTCCTGTGGCTACTGTAACAAGTTACCATAAACCTTAGTGGATTAAAACAGTAGACATTTACTCTCTCACAGATCTAAGGCCAGAAGTCTAAAATCAAGGTTATCTGCAACAGCCCCATACCCTAGAGACTCTCAGGGGAGGATCTGTTCTAAACCTCTTCTAGCCTTTGACAGCAATCAGTATTCTTTGGCATTCTGTAGCTTATGGACATATCACTCCAATCTCCGTCTTTGTCTTCACAACGCCTTCTTTGCTGTGTCTATCTTTTCCTCTTCTGTCTCCTATAAGGACACTTGTCATTGGATTTAGGACCCACCCAGATAACCCAGGATGACTTCTTCATATCAAGATCCCTAACTTAATCACATCTGCAAAGACCCTGTTTTCAAATAAGGTAATATTCCCAGGTTCCCGGGATTTAACATGGGTAACTTTTGTCCTACCATACTCTCCTACAGAAATGGGGGAGGGGGGGGCGGTGCGCCTGGATGGCTCAGTCCTGAAGTGTCTGCCTTCGGCTCAGGTCGTGATCCCAGGGTCCTGGGATCAAGCCCCGCATCGGGCTCCCTGCTCCACGGGAAGCCTGCTTCTCCCTCTCCCACTCCCCTTGCTTGTGTTCCCTCTCTCGCTGTGTCTCTCTCTGTCAAATAAATAAATAAAATATTAAAAAAAAAAAAAAAGGAAATGGTGGTGGTCTGGAGGCATTGGGTGGAATTTAAATTCTTTGTTTCTGATTCTCTTTAGCAGCTTAAATGCAAAAAATCTTGTTTACTTTAAGAGGTAGGTTTTTCTATAGGTACAAAGTCTACAGCAAAAAGAATAAACCAAGAAACTTAGGAATACACATTAAAGTTGAGAATGTTAAGAAGTGGTCACCAAATTCCCTTTTTTTGTTCTTTACCTCTGATCTCCATTCTAATTCTCTACAATCCCCACTCACCACCTACCCACACAAATAATGAGCATACACTTAATTTGGTATATGAGCTGGATACATATTTATTTTTAAAAAACATGTTCTTTAAATATGTATTTTTAACTTATCCAAATAATATTGTTGTGGACCTTGTTCAGTTTTAAACTATTCTCACAGTATACTGTAATTTTAAGACCTTTCCATGTAGCATATGTACATCTAGGTAAGTGCTTGTAATTGCAGCCTAGTGTTAAAAAGGATGTATCCATTCTCTTATTAGTGTACACATCTAGGTTGATTCTAACTTCCTGCTACCACAAACAGGCTCCAACAGACAAAATCTTTGCACATGACCCCTGTGGACAGCAGTACAACTTTTTTAGAGTAAATGCCCAAAAGTATTTATTTACATATTAGTTATTTGGGTGATTCTGTGAATCACCTATTAGTTCACTGTACTCATTTAACTACTAGGATCTATATTTTCTTGTTGATTTGCAGAAATTATTTGTATATTCATCATATCAATTCCTGTTGCTAGTATCCTTTTATTCAGTCTATTAAGTGTTAAGTTGGTCTATGCTTATGGTATCTTTTTTAAAATAGAATTTCTTAATCTTAAGGTAATCAAATTCACTAATTTTTTTTCTTTATGATTTACATTTTAGGGATATTGTTTAAAAAGACTTAACCAATATAAGATCATGAAGATATTCTCTTCAATTAGCTTTATATAAAAGTTTATCTTGGGGTACCAGGGTGGCTCAGTCGGTTAAGCATCTGCCTTCTGCTTGGGTCATGATCCCGGGATCGAGCCCCACATGGGTCTCCCTGCTCAGTGGAGAGCCTGCTTCTCCCTCTCCTCTGCCAATCTCTCTCTCTCTCTCAAATAAATAAATAAAATCTTTAAAAAAAAAAAAAAGTCTATCTTCTAAGAATATATCCAAAAGAACTGAACAGGGTCTTAAATAGATACTTACACAAAAATATTCATAGCAGAATGATTCACAATAGCCCAAACATGTAAACAACCCAAGTGGCCATCTACAGATGAATAAACAAAATGTGGTATATACATACAATGGAATACTCTTCAGCCATAAAAGGGAATGAAGTTCAAATACATGCCACAATATCAATGAACCTTGAACACATTATTTAAAATGAAATAAGCCAGACATAAAAGGACAAATATATAATTCCACTTATATGAAATACCTAGAATAGGCAAATTCATAGAGACAGAAAGTAGATCAGAAGTTACCAGGGACTGGGAGGTGTGGGAAATGGGGAATTACTGCTTAATGGGTACAGAGTTTCTGTTTACAGTGATGAAAAAGTTTTGGAAATAGATCATGGTGACAGTTGTACAATATTTTGAATGTCATTAATGCCACTGAACTGTATACTTAAAAAAGTTTAAAATAACAAATTTTATATATATATTTTTACCACACCAGGAGACAGCTTACTTTATGTGAATTTTATTAATATTGTAGTTTTTTGGGGGTTTTTTTTGTTTTTTTGTTTTTTTATTTGACAGAGAGAGACACAGTGAGAGAGGGAACACAAGCAGGGGAGTGGGAGAGGGAGAAGCAGGCTTCCCGCGGAGCAGGGAGCCCAATGCGGGGCTCGATCCCAGGACCCTGGGATCGTGACCTGAGCCGAAGGCAGACGCTTAACGACTGAGCCACCCGGGCGCCCCATTAATATTGTAGTTTTGTTTGCAATTTATAAACTTTTGATTTTGTTAGTGGAAAATGTATTTTTGCTTGAACATATTTAAGTAACATTTAATAAATTAATTAAAGAGAAAAATGTGGTTACTAGTAAGTACTTTCATACCTAACCTTTAACAATAGCTATCTATCTAAGCTCCCTCATTAACGTCTTTGCATTGTCACTGAAGTCATACTGGCTTAGGTAACTCAAATTATCTTACAAATTTAAAATGTTATGAATGAATTAAGGAGGGAAAGGAAAACTAAGAACACTTTATACAACTCTATCAATGCACCCTTTTATGCGATCTAATCCACTTAGGAGTTTCTCCATATGAAGAATGCAAATACTATCACTGGCAAGATTAAATCATCTCCTAAAGACCTATTAACCTGGTGAAAAAAGTAAAATGACTCCATTGTCTGCAATTAGAGGACAATGATGCAAACTGTGTCCTCCTAGTTCTCCCCAAAATACACATATTCTTTTAAAAGTCAAATTACGGGGCGCCTGGGTGGCTCAGTTGGTTAAGCGGCTGCCTTCGGCTCAGGTCATGATCCTGGAGTCCCAGGATGGAGTCCCGCATTGGGCTCCCTGCTCAGCAGGGAGTCTGCTTCTCCCTCTGACCCTCCTCCCTCTCCTGCTCTCTGTCTCTCATTCTCTCTCTCAAATAAATAAATAAAATCTTTAAAAAAATAAAAATAAAAAAAATAAAAATAAAAGTCAAATTACATTTTTGTGTTCATAGCTGACTTCTGTGTGGTTAATTTTAATGTGAGGCCATTAAAACCATCTGATTAGTCACATTTAAATTAAACGCCAAAATTCCTACAAAGTGCCAGAAGTTGTGCAGACCCCCTGACTTCATTTGATGTAAAGACTGGTTAGTATTAATCCAAAATAACCAATATAAACATCATTGCTCAAGAAATGATTAAGATTCATACATTACATCTCCTGAAGAAAACACAGCTTTGGGATTAATCTAAAACCAGTTTAAAATACTCTTTGTTGGGGCTCCTGGGTGGCTCAGTTGTTAAGTGTCTCCCTTTGGCTCAGGTCATGATCCCAGGGTCCTGGGATCGATGTGAGCCCCACATCGCGCTCCCTGCTCAGCAGGAAGCCTGCTTCTCCCTCCCCCACTCCCCCTGCTCGTGTTCCCTCTCTCACTGTCTTTCTCTGTCAAATAAATAAATAAAATCTTAAAAAAAAAAAAAAAAGATACTCTTTGTTTTTAGAACATTCCTTTAATTCACTGAATAAATACCTGCCCACAGGAAAAGTGAACTAAGTGAAATCTGCCTGATTAAGGTCACATGACAGAGCAGAGGCTACACAAATTATCAGTCTCCTCAGTTTTCCAGTTTATTTCCCCAGCAAATCACACCAGGGTTAAATAAATAATAGAGCGGGCTATTTGAAAGACTTGATATCTATAAAATGTCTACTGGACTTTGATCAACTTTTCCAGTACTGGTAACAGATTTAGGGTGATTACAGATTTAGTTCTTCCTTTGATCAACAGTATACGTATGTCACAGGGCAAGGGAGTAGGCTATGTCTTGGACAAAACAAACTGGCGAACACAGAAGTGAACCTACAACTTGAGCCTTGCTCATGTTCTAAACTGAAAAGCCTAGTCTTTTAAAATTTTTGGTAAAATTCAAAGAATTTAAACAAGATAAAATCACATTTTTATTTTAAGCCTGCAGTTCCCAAGGAAACATTTTATTTCTGATAATAAATGGAATCTTATTATCAGAACACTTTTGGGATAGATTATAAGTTTCTCTAGGGCAGGACCTCAACTAATTATACCTGATTGGTGCTCACTAAACCCATTTTCATCAATGGCATAAAACCTACTATTTATAGTTTATCATATCAATTTTTATTCATTACTTCTCAAGTGACACTAAGAAATTTAGAACTTCAAGGTCCTAAAGAAAAAGCAAGCACTTTTTTTTTTTTTTAAAGATTTTATTTATTTATTTGAGAGAGAGAATGAGATAGAGAGCATGAGAGGGAGGAGGGTCAGAGGGAGAAGCAGGCTCGCTGCCGAGCAGGGAGCCCGATGCGGGACTCGATCCCGGGACTCCAGGATCATGACCCGAGCCGAAGGCAGTCGCTTAACCAACTGAGCCACCCAGGCGCCCCAAGCAAGCACTTTTTAAAACTACCTTTTTTAGCTTCTCATCTTCCCTGTAATTGGTACAAAGCTACACTTTTCACAAGGTATACTGCATTCAGTTCAAATCAGCCAAAATTTTCGATAGTATATGGGTTTAGCATACTACCAGTGCTATAGTAAAAAAAACTTTTTTTTCTAAAGAAATTTATGTGTGAAAAGTAAAACCTCATGTCTAAAAGTTAAAAAACAACACAGAAGCACTATATAATTCAGTGCTAAAGTGGATTATCTATATTAAATACCAAACTAATGAGATATTTTATAAATTTTACAAATTTGTAAAATTCATTAATGTCTTGAAATTATGCTGCTTCTGTGAATTGCTACTGCTTATATAGTTAATAGTCCCTTAAGGAGATCTACTCTGTAATGTTAACAGGAATAAAAATGAAAGCAATTTCTTCCATGATGCATAGAATTTTTTAAAATTGTCACAAAGTACCCCGACTTCCTTCCTTCCTACAACTTTCTACATTCTATTTCATATTTCCATTTTCCCTCTACCCATCTTCATCTTTCTGATTTGTGGCTATCTTATCTCCACTTAACAAAGGAAACTTTCTTTTCCCTTTTTTTGCAGACTCCACATCAATGGTTTTGGTACAATTAAAAACATCCAGATTGTGTGAGTGAAAAAAGAAGTTTAAATGAAATCAAAATATTCTCATTTTTTCTGATAAAAAAATTAAATGTCTAATCAATCCATCATAACATATATATATAAACATATAAGCACAAAGAATGAATGTCTTAAAATCTTCAGAACTGCCTTATGAATAATTATACATACAGTAATTATACACAACAGTTACCTATAATTGAAAGACTGTATGTTACAAATATATCACTGATTTAGATTTTTGTTGAATGCACAAAAGGGCTGAATTAATTCTATGTATTATTTTATACTATTAATTCACACTGCCATGTTCATACTTTTTAAGAACAAAAAAAGAAGAAACTTAAAAAGTTTATTAACAAATAGATACTCATTGAAGTATTTTCAGTAAATATAGTGACATGTAAAGGTTACTTTAGTAATATGTGCATTATGCTTTATATTACTTTGGTTCAAAGAAGAAATAACTAGACCTATTTTTTTTAAGGAGGATTTTCCTGGATTTTTGTTATAAACACTGTGAAGCAAAGTATGTTTTTATAGGTCTTGAGTTCATGCACAATATGTTTCTGGGATCATAGCCCAATACAAAAACATTGCTATTCACTGGGGAACAATATTTAATGGCAAAAAGAAAAAAAAAAAAACAGGATGGAGAGAATGAGAAAGAAGAATAAACAAAAAGATGATGGACAAATGTAAAAGGTCTATGAGAAAAAATATATTTGGGACAAAAACATTAATATAGTTTATGATATTTATATTAAAAACATTTTATTTGTTGAAAAAATAATTCTTAAAAACTAAAGTAGTCAACATCACATGTTAAGTATATTACATGACATGCAGAATAAGGCTACCCCTCTTATTTGGCTACATTTGAAAACTTATTTTTTCCCCAATCTGAGAGCAGTCTAAAGCTAATGTGGCCATAACTGTTAAAATGTCTTAGGGAAATGTGCTGCAGAAATTCAAACACTCTAATTCTGCCTCAGTATTTCTTAATGCAGTAGGTTCCGTTGGAGATCTTTTTTTTTTTTTAAAGATTTTATTTATTCATTTATTTGAGAGAGTGAGAGAGAGAGAGAGCACATGAGAGGGGGGAGGGTCAGAGGGAGAAGCAGACTCCCCACCGAGCAGGGAGCCCGATGCGGGACTCGATCCCGGGACTCCAGGATCATGACCTGAGCCGAAGGCAGTCGCTTAACCAACTGAGCCACCCAGGCGCCCCTCCGTTGGAGATCTTAAAGAACGATTTGTTCTCAAAAGTTCAGGCATTCGCGTACCAGAAAGCAATTGCGGAATCAAATGAGCTCTATAATTTGATATAAGTAAAGCTTTATATAAAGCAATTACATCATCAAAGAAAGAACCTAGTGTGAAAATATTAAGTAAATGGATTTCAAAGATATTGAATTCTGGATATTTTAAAGAATCCCAATAATACATGAAATTCCTTGGATCCTCATTTAAAGTGAGAAATCCATTTCTAAGCATATGTGCACAAGTACCTTAGCCTCTTCATGCCTGCCTGCCTGTCCCCCAGTCAGAGAAGGCAGGATATTTGGTTAGGCATATGTTTATGAATAAAGACAGGAAAATTCCAACTTTAAAACCAAATATTTTCCTTGTTTAATTCTGGTATCTTATTGGTCCATATGCTGCCTCCTCCTCACAGTATGGTACCCTCCTCACAGTATGCTACCAAAATCTCCTGGATTTTGACTTTCTTTTAAAACATAAGGATTAACATCAAGCAGACAGAATTGAGGAGTGGAAATATTGTATGAGAAAGAAGACCAAAACTGATGATGATCTACATACATACTGACACTCTTGCTGAAGACATGAGGTGCTCCATAAATGCTTACTGAAATGCTGTTTTGTGAATTTGTTGTGATAAATTCATCTCCTTCTCTAATTTAAGAATCCTCATAAGTGGGGCGCCTGGGTGGCTCAGTTGGTTAAGCGACTGCCTTCGGCTCAGGTCATGATCCTGGAGTCCTGGGATCGAGTCCCGCGTCGGGCTCCCTGCTCAGTGGGGAGTCTGCTTCTCCCTCTGACCCTCTTACCTCTCGTGCTATCTCTCATTCTCTCTCACTCATATAAATTAAAAAAAAAAAAAAAAAAAAGAATCCTCATAAGTCAACCACAATCGGTTCAGTGTAATTTAATGTAAAACATCTGGTGGCACTTTTAAATGCTAAAGGATAGCATTTCACACACTACACCTGCCTCTACACTATCACAGCAGGAAAAGATGAGGTTAACACAGAGAAGCAGAGAGAGGTATCAGGAGAGTTCCTGAACACATCATTTGCTTATATAGATTTGGTTGTGCCCGAGGCCAGCCCCACTCCTAGATTTTCTACAGAACGCTCAGACATTCCTTTTTTCTTTCTGGCTTAAGCTAGCTGGATTTCAGTTTCTACCATTTACAATCATATTTGAGCATAGAATCCTTTTTTTTTTTTTTTAATGAAAAGATAGTAGTCTTTTAGAACTACTAACTGGTAGAACACAGGTTGGGAAATGTTACTTGGAAACATGGCTATGATTCCTTAGGTGCAGCATCTAAAGAACTGAAAAAGTATTCCTAACTGCTTTCTAAAATAGTTATTTTTTAATATTTTTACTTTCATTTTTATTTTTTTTGAAACAAGAAAAGAACTTATTTCAATGAGGCCAACACTGGGAAGACAGTGAACTAGCGTCTCAAAGACTGTCTCCAAAGTGCTGGAAACACTTCCAGGTTTTTATCAGGAAAATGTGGGACAAAGGTCGGTGGATATGTGCAGCAGGGGCAGCAAAGGTCTGGTTGATCACTTTCTTGGGGGTCGGTCATGTGGGGTCTCGCTGGCTCGGGGCAGCCCTTATTGCTTGAGGGGGTAGTTTCATTTCCCATTGGGGGATACTCTGCCCACAGGGTCTTTTGCCTGAGTTAAGAGATAAAGTGTGCTTTCTAATATATTTAAAATATACCAGGAAAAGATCACAGAACTCAAATTTGAATGGAAAAGTAGTTCATTTTCTGGACTGAAACTAACTTACCTGCATTGAAATAAGAATGAAATCAATTAGGCTCCCAATTCCACAAAACCCTACAGTGCAAAACTTTAACAAACCTGGAAAAAAAGATAAAGTCACTTAAAATTCTGGAAGTTCTATAAATATTAACTTTTCTATTTCCCAATAAATCATTATGTATACTATACCACAAACTCTTTATATCAAGAATATAAAATAAACACTTTATTTTGTGTGTGTGATTAATCACATTTTTTTTCTTTTTTTTTTTTAAGATTTTATTTATTTATTTGACAAAGAGAGAGAACACAAGCAGGGGGAGTGGGAGAGAGAGAAGCAGTCCTCCCGCTGAGCAGGGAGCCTGATGCAGGGCTCGATCCCAGGACCCTGAGACGAAGGCAGACCCTTAACGACTGAGCCACCCAGGCGCCCCTAAAATTAACACTTTAAAAACTCAAATCTTCACCTGAAAATATGAGAAAGGTTTAAAACACCCTCCAAATAGAAAAGCTACAATAAAAAAATTAATTCACTTAACAAATAAGTATTATGAACTGAAATAAAAACTCTAATCTCACAAAATTTCTTAAAAGTCCTAAAGAAATAAATCTTTAAATTGCATTATGCCAGAGCTATAGAACATCTCTTAGTCCTTATTTAGACTTAATACATTATGTGATTGAAATTTTAATACACGTTTACACTAGAAGTTCAAACAAATAAAGATTGTCAAGTCACAGAAAAAATAACCAAGATGAAACTTTGATCTTATAGTTAAACTGCAAACTTTTATTAGCAACCCAATTTTTATCCTATACTTAATTATCTTAAATTTATCCTATATTTTTTAGAAAAAAGCATCTCATGTTCATTAATTCTACACTCAAAATCAACAATTCTATGCACTACATACATCTCTGCCTTCAGTCACAACCTTGGAACTAAGGTACTGAACAGATCATTACAGAGCATAGAATCTAGGACATACACAATGATATAACAGAAAACCATGATGATGGAATAAAGAGACAGGTTGGGGGTGCGGGTGGGATGAGTAATCTTTCTTCTATATTTAAACTTAAATTGCCTTCCAGACATATAAAAATGGTAGGAAACAAGACTCTTCGTGAAAGGGTAGTTCTAAGTATCAACTACAAACAGATGCCAGCTAAAATCACAAGAGTGGATGAGATCACCTCCTGCACACAATTTGGAAATACACAAATAAGATTGAAATATGTAAGCACATTAGATGATTATTTTTCCCTTTTTAGTATTAGACATATCACAGAATAATGTTGTAAGTACTAAGATAACACATGTTCGAAATCACTTTAAAACTACTAAAATATAGAGATTATATAAAATTCTGCTTTCACTTTTCTCAAAACATTTGTTATGTTACCTATTGTTTTATATTTGTTCTATCTGTCTCATGGAAGTCCCATTAGGGGAGGGTCTTTTATCTGGTTTATTTACTCCTGTGTCCTTAGTACCTACAACATCGCCTAACACATAGTAGATGCTTGATACTTGTAAAATGAATGGATAAGTTGTCTCAGCTTTTCTCTTTCCTAAAGACCTCTAACTTTGTAGCCATTATCTTATATAACTACTCCTTTAATTATTTTTTTCATTAGTTGCATTTTATTATAGTTGCCCAGGGAACTTGATCCACTCAACTGGTATATTTTCTCCATTCACTCATTCATTCTAGTTCTGAAATGTATCCCTCTTCACACAGCAATTTAATGTAAATTTGGAAATATCACAGAGGTTCCCTTTCTTCAATTTTCTTTTAACACGATTAATTTTAAGAATGGTTCTGGGGCACATGGGTAGCTCAGTTGGTTAAGCTCAGGTCATGATCTCAGGGTCGTGAGATCGAGCCCCCGTCCGGCTCAGTGCTGGGCATTGAGCCTGCTTAATATTCTCTTTCTCTCCCTCTGCTCCTTCCCCAATGCCCCTCTCCCCCTCTATTAAAAAAAAAAAAGATTTTCAAAAAAAGTTTGTCTTTAATTACTTGCTACTCTATTAAGAAAACATAACCATGTCAGAGCCTTTGCTCTTGTTATGACCCCTTCCAACAATAGTCTGTAGATCTCATTTCTCAGGCTACTTCTTCAGAGAAGTCTAATATGTCTATCTAATGCAGCACACAGCTTCCCCACAAAGCCCCTTGCCCTATCACATCTCCCCTATTTATTGCCTTTTTGGCGCCAATTAAAAATCTGTAACAGCCTCGTTTGTTGGTTTGTTCATTCATTCTGTCTTCCTCTGCCATGTAAATTCCTCAAGACAGGGTCCTTATCTTACTCAAGTCAATTCCTTGAACAGTACCTGACAGACAGTAAGAGTTTGATAAATATTTCTTGTATGACTATCAAAAACCTAGCAACAATTTAAATGTTTAACAGGGAGAAATTATCTCAGAAAATTAAGGTATACCTAATAAGAGGAGAGAGTACTATGCAGCTATTTAAAACAATGACATAAAAGTATATTTATTGGCAAAGTAATGTGATAACACTCAAAAAGAGAACAATAATGAGTCATTAAAATCTTGATATTCGGGGCGCCTGGGTGGCTCAGTCGTTAAGCGTCTGCCTTCGGCTCAGGTCATGATCCCAGGGTCCTGGGATCGAGCCCCGCATCGGGCTCCCTGCTTAGCGGGGAGTCTGCTTCTCCCTCTCCCACTCCCCCTGTTTGTGTTCCCTCTCTCGCTGTGTCTCTCTCTGTCAAATAAATAAAACCTTAAAAAAAAAAAAAATCTTGATATTCTGCTGCTGAACCCCTTCTTAAGGGTGCTTCAGAAAAATGAACAGAAGAGGTTCCTGTTCAGGTAAAATATTAGATAAGGGCATGATATGTGTGTTTGGAACTTTGGTGAGTGTCACCTACTCCTGAAGTCACACATTTAAACTACAGAACAGATCCAAGATGATACTTAAGCATTTAAGCAATCTGCAAACTGACCTACAGTGACAGACAGCAGATGAGTGTTTGCTAGGGAAAGATAGGGGATAAGGAGGGCCAAGAGGCAGGGATTACAAAGGGCAGGAGGAAGCTTTGGGGAGTGACATATATGGTCATTATCTTGATTATGGGGACTGTTTCATAGGCGTACACATATGCTAACTTATCAAACTGTACATTTAAAATATGCATGTTAAGATGAACCATGAGAGACTATGGACTTTGAGAAACAAACTGAGGGTTCCAGAGGGGATGGGGGTGGAGGGATGGGTTAGCCTGGTGATGGGTATTAAAGAGGGCACATTCTGCATGGAGCAGACGTGTTATATGCAAACAATGCAATGTTTGTTATATGCAAACAATGAATCATGGAACACTACATCAGAAACTAATGATGTAATATATGGTCATTACCATAACATAATAATAAAAAAAATATGCATGTTAATGTATATCATTTGTACCTCAATAAAGCTGCTTAAAAATTAAGGAACTAAGTTGATCATTTTTTTTTAATTTAAAGATTTTTATTTATTTATTTGACAGAGAGAGAGCCAGACACTTAACAACTGAGCCACCCAGGCGCCCCGGAACTAAGTTGATTATTAAAAAAAAATTTGAGGGTGCCTGAGTGGCTCAGTTGGTTAGCCTTCAGCTCAGGTCATAATCCCAGAGTCCCGGGATTGAGTCTCGCATAGGGCTCCCTGCTTAGCAGGGAGTCTGCTTCTCCCTCTGACCCTACCCCCTCTTGTGCTCTCTCTCACTCTCTCAAATAAATAAAATAAATCTTGAAAAAAAATTCAAAGTTTAAAATCATTACAGTGATTTATATCCTGTTTCACTCCAAACCTATAATATTAACTGTGGTCCACCTATTTCTGCAAATGTAATATAAAGGATAAGTTTAATAATGGAAGTTGCCAATACTGCTATCTTAAACTTGTTATAGCTTTCAAAATATAAAAATATTTTATGAAAATAAGATAGGAAGGACACTAAGGGTTAAAGGAGATAATGAGAAAAAGTAAAAACTTAGAATAGTACATGGTACGTGGCAAACATATGAAATGTTAGCCCAGCCATTATGTCTCCTACCACTGTTTCACCTATTCCTACAATTATTATTCACTGAGAAATGTAGATGGCATAAATTACATTCTTTATATAGTAGGATCATCTAACCTAGTCTCTTATCTTGCAAATTCCTTCTGCCTGGGTTACTCCCAAACTACCTGAAGATCCCTTCCAATGTGCAGTGCTCTTGTAGTCTCCTCAGCCATCTCTACATTTATATGTGTTATGCTATTCTCTACCTTGACTCCTCCTCTGCACTCCCCACCCCGTTCCCAATCATCTAGCTAACCTCTAAGAGTTGTTTAAAACTTCTAGAAGTCTTCTCTAATGTCCCCAGGATGAATTTAATAATATTCCTTGATGCTCCCCAGCCCTGCCCTTAACTTTCAGCATTGCACATATCCCATGATACGGCTTATATATTTTTATTTATCTGTCTTCCCCTTCCCTTCCATGAGCAACGGGAAGTCACTGTTGGATCATTCCCATGCCTAGTCAATAGGACTACTGAAGGAACAAACCCTATCAAGAGTAAATTATCTTATTTGCAAACAATGATTAACTTGAACAACACAAAGTGGCATACATTCTAAAGCATTTATTAAAACCAATACAAACTATTACTCTTATAGATTTCATTATTTTGAGCATAATACCAGTTTTTTAAAAAGTGAGGTTATTTGTGAACTACCAAAAGTAGACTGACATTTTTTTTCCAAATAAAAAAGTGTCTCTTCGTACAGACACTATTTACTAACTTCTTATTTGAAAAGGACTATCAGCTTTAGATTTTAAAATCTGTTTTAAAATTCCAAATAAAAGTGTTTCTAATAAAAAAGGATCTATTTTTATCCTGAACCATTACTATTATATATTCTTTCAAAAAGATTATGCTGCCAGGTGACATTAATAAAGCTCATGTTTTGAGTATACTTTATACTTTAGTAACCTAAACTTTATATTTCAAAAACATGAATTCAGGGCGCCTGGGTGGCTCAGTTGGTTAAAGCAACTGCCTTCGGCTCAGGTCATGATCCTGGAGTCACTG